AATCGGGGAAAAGGAAGGACGTATTTGTCGGCCGCATCGGAGGAGTCTTCAGTTTGGGACGTCCTTTGTCGCGGCGCTGTGATGTACGCAGCCGACGAATTCGGCCTTCGGAGGACCCAGCCTGCCATTTTGGACACAGCCAATGTAATAATTCTAAGAAATAAATGAAACTATAGACAAAGAAATTTGTTTTTCTTAAACAAAAAAAGAAAAATACATTTATTGAATTAATGATTTCACCTGCTGCCTTTCTTGCCAGTGTATTAAATCATCGTATGTTGAGAATGTTATGGCCATTTTAGTCGAATCTTAAAATATTGTTTGGATCAATCACAACTAATATTGTTATGACTCATGTGATCAGTTTTTTATATCTTTATTTCACAATAAAACATTTCATAAAATAAGAAGAGAAAAATAAAATAAAACAAAAAAGAATAGTAAGTGTCATAATTATATTACAAAAAACAAATGTGAAGAAGAATTGCCAAAACATCCTCAAGCGGCAATCTCCAAAAAAGAAATAACAATAATTACATAAATTAAAAGAATCCATACATTACAAAAAAATAAAACACTACTCTAAACACAAAAAAAAAATTGCCTCAGATTGATTCAATTGATTCAATCAGTGTAAGTTTTGAGCTATTACCACACATCATTTTAGCTCGACATCTGTAAAATTCCCAAAAGTATAGCTGTTTTTGTGTAGGTTAGGGTTGATTAGCTGTGGCGGCCATCATAAACTGGGCAAATAATTGCTTTCCAAAAGTTTCATTGGAGTCATACTAGTTTTTTTAACAGATCATAGCGATTAAATAGGGTTTATRGTGTTTACAGTTTAAGATGCCACATGGGCAAAAAGGACTACTTAGGATGAGTACTATAGTGTCTGATTACTGTTACTTGTTACCTGTTACTTGGTACTTGCTGTGTAGCTCCTCCAGCGTTCGCCTTAGCTGTCGATTGCGTGTACTCAATCCCTTGTTCTTTCCAATGATGCCCCTCATCTTTTCCTCCTCTTTTTGTAACTCTCCCTGGAGTCTCTTCATCTCTCTGCTCTGTACTCCAAACTCCATGTGCCTCCTTTCAGACTCTCGTTTGGCCTCCTTCAGCCGCTCCTCCGCCTGGCTGAGGAGCATCACGTGCACCTGCAACTTGAGTGAGTAGAGAGGAAGCAAAACATGTGAAGGATGCATGCTGTTTGAGGCCCAGCTCAGACAGAGAGAGAGAGATTCATGTCTGGCCTCAAAATGACTCTAAAATATGTCTGGACCAATCTCTTATTATTTGATTTTCATGTGAAGCTTGCAGCTGCTTTTATCCTGGAGAAACCTTGGATAAAAATTTATTTCATATTTGGGTTGGACTCACAGCAAAACAACAATAAAAGAATATGATGAGCAAAAAAAATGGACTTTAGTATGATTTTGCAAAGGTAAATTATAAAATCCCACATAATTTCTATGACAGCAGCATTATTTTAATTTAGACTTTTTTTATTTTGAAAAATAATGTCTATTAGAATCATTCATTTGCTGACCTCATTAGTTTATTTAAGATTATATTTTCCAAGCTAACTCAAAAC